CATACAAAATGGCAACTTTATAGTCAAACCTTTTTTCCAATAATAGTAGTTCTTCTCTACTTGGCCCTATATATTACCAGTTTTGGCCCAAGTCATTATTTGTGCATCCTATTCAAAATCAAGTTCAATGCCACTTTTTTTTCCAGATTAATTTTGATTCTTTAATAATAAGTACAGAGATGGATTTGGGGGATTCTAAATGACAGAAATCAGAAAAAGATTACTGGCCCATCTCCTTTGTGCTCTTCTTAACCCAGAGCTCAAGATCATAGAGTCGATATCTGTACAGCTTTGTTCATTCAGTTTTTAGAACTATTTTGTCATTACAAACATTTGAACAGTCATGAACTTGTGCTTTCTTGGTGGTGGAATAAGCAAATGTTTGCTTATCATCCAGAGCCAAGATGCTATCAACCATTCAGAGAAACTACTTGTAAGGCAAGGGGTGCGTCCATCTCAAAAGTTTATTCTCCTGGTGTTAGACGTAGTGATGATAGTCAACTCAAAGTTTTGCTTCATTTGAAAGCGTGAACAAGCCATGTATAAATAAAAGAAAAATGACACATAGGTTTGGACAGAGATTTTTACTCTCCTTTTGTAGGATATATGCATTTTTGTCATACATATAAATCCCAGATAATTTTGTTGGTTTACAATAGAAAAAGAATGCACAACGTGTTCATAATTAATAACTCATCTTGTGTCCAAAGATAAAGAAATTACTGTTGATGAGTACTGTGGACTTTTTGCCAGGACGTTGGGAGCTGACTGTGGAACTGTCAGTTATCTGGTTGTCCCTCCACAGTTTAAACCAACTTTAAAGGCCTAAGTTTTCCCACAACTTATGATAGTTTATAGAACATATTTGGAACCTGTGTTGGAAGAAGTGTGCTGGACACAGGGCCCTAACCCTCCCAATTCATCTAAAAATACTTGGGAAAGGCAGTAACAATGAAAAAAGCTCAGGAGATGTAACCCATAGAGGAAGAAGAGCAGGAAGAAGCAAATCCCCAGGTGCCCACAGAAATCAAGGAGGAGGAGCCTGGATCCTGCTCGACCACCTGGAAGACACTAAGAGAATCTGGAGGCAGCACTCTATGGCAGCCCGTGGACACCAGAACAGGTTAGAAGACACTGAGCATGCATTGCTCTATCTTGGGAGTCAAAAAGCTCAGGAAAGGAGCTACAGCTTCTGAATTATGGCCTCAGCCTCAGCAATAACCACTCAATGTCCATCTCAGAGACTGGATCTAGTCCGAGAAATCCAGTTTTTGTTTTGTTTTTGATGGTAGTTTCTTTAGAAAATTGGAAATTCCTGCTTACAGAATGTCTTTTGTTATTGTTGTTTGTTTGTGAGTTTTTAACCCAGAAAGACCATCACTGCCTCCCCACTGAAGGAGTATTCAATCTCAGGCAAGATTGACAAATTACCAACGTAGCATGAAATTTCCATTTACAATGGACAAGTGTACTCCCACAAGTAGTTGAATTAGATTGGATTGTTCTGATTTTTCTGGCTCGAATAAGAGTGAAAATGTGGAAGTGATATATTCCCTGTGAGTTTCCAGCATTAATCCCTTCCCACCTTTTTTTTTTTTTTTTTTTTTTTCCTGAAAATGTTTTCTGGCTTCCCCAGTTTAAATCATATTTGATCTGTGAGGGCATGTTAGGTGTTTTGGTTTGCAGTAATCCTCTATATTCACCATCTTGTTTCATTGTAGTTTATAGGACCACTTTTTAAGTTTGTTTCTGAAATACTTCTTTCTCTGTGTTAATATTAAAATGAACTTGACATGAGAAAGTGCCTAAAAATGGCATTATACTTTTTAATCCTCTCTTTATTCTTTCTCTTCTTTCTTTGTCTTTATTTATTTATTTATTTATTTGTTTGTTTATTTATTTATTTATTTTTCTTTTCTTTTTTGTTGTTCTCTGAAACAGGGTTTCTCCTTGTAGCCTGGCTGTCCTGGAACTCATTCTGTAGACCAGGTTGGCTTTGAACTCCCTATAGTGCCTGGGTTGCTAGGAAACAGCACAAATTTTGAGTGTGTCAAACCCAAGAAGTGAAATTTTATTTGAAGACTGGTGACCACTTTCTGGCCTTTTGGTAACCAATTTCTCTGCAGTTAACACTCTTACTCAGGGAAAATTAGATAAGTCTTTAGACCCCATCCCATCTCTGGATATCACCTACATTTAATCCAAGTTTTAGACTGATGCCTCCCTGTTACCCTTTGCCAAAAGAAATAGCTTGCTAATAATTTTTCAACATATGCCAGAGGCCGGAGTAAACAATATTAATTCTATCATACTGCCATTACTGTGCTAGTTCCTAGCCACAAACAAATGAACAAATAAACAAACCGAAGAGGATTACTGTGTTACAAACATGTCATTGTTGAGGCACTGTAAGCGGCAGCAGCCTACTTGGTCTCTGCTATGCATTTCCCCAGGCACATGAGAAAATTCTATGTTCTAGATGCTGTCTGCACCCACTCTCTTTGTGCCAGCCCTTCTGCTGGTTCCTCACTTCCTTTGTTCTCTCCCACCTATTTTATATATTGGAACCCCACTGATGCTCTGAAGTTCACCCGAAAGGCCACCAGAAAGAACTATCCTCTCCTATTTCCTCGAATCCCCACTTTCCTCTTTCTTACTCTAGGCTAGCAAGACACATCAGCTGATATGCAGCTGTCCTTCTCCTCCTGGCTCCTAGCCATGGCCTGTAGTGATAACTGCCAGATAGGGATGATGGCTGATAAAGACAGGTGCTGAGATATATCTCAGGTAAGTAGATTCTTCTGATAGTGCAGGCCATCACAGCAGGGAATCTGTTCCAGACCCCAACAGATGGAAGGGTGCAAGGGACAAACAAAAGTCTTTATATTTACATGATTCCTGATGGAGTAGGTGTTCTAAGATCTATGGCTTGCCTGTCAGGAATGAGGCCATCACTCAAGTGTGTGTGCGGACATAAGGGTTGTGCCTGCTTGTGGAGGCAGAGATAAAGAAAAGACTATTTTACATTGTTGTCACAACTAAAAAAGGTAGAGACCCGAGCTGCAGGTGTGGGTGCCTTGTTTAGCAAAGCGACCACATTAGGAACATTCCTTGCACTTTGATACTAAACTGTGCATTGTACATAGTTCTAACTCGTATTGACCACCAGTACGTCTATGATGGTAGATTGTTTGTGCAGTCAGACTTTTAAGCATTAAACATAAATAACTTCTAAAAAAAAAAAAAATTCCTTGCCCTATTGTTACTACCTGAGTGAAAGGAACTCTATTGGACAGAAAGTAAAGGGAGGTAAGTAAGGGCCCAAGGAACTGGGACATTGCCCTCAGACCTGCCTTCCTCCTCTTGGGCTGGCATGATGTAGGAGTTTGTCTCTCTCCTTGCCATCACTCTGTGCATATCAGTTGCCTGTGCTTAGGCCAGAGGTATCTGTATTTCTGCACTAGGTGACATTATATGCAAATGTACAAGTAGCATGTGAAACAGTATTCTAGAGTAAGTGGAACAGCATGTGGATTAGGGAGGAGCCTAAACGTTGTTTTTAAACAAAATCCCAAAGGTTTGACTTCACTAATAAGGACTCAGAAGCCAGACGCTCAGATGAATGTCTACTAGCTTAGACAGATAGAGAAACTACCCTACCCAGTACCCAGTTCTCCTTCCTATTCAGCCCATGTTCAAAAAAAAAAAAAAAAAAAGCTCCTTCTCCACACTTAAAAACCCTTCAAACAGACTGACCCTCCATTTTACTTCCCACGTATCTCTCTATCCATCCTCTCACTCTCTGTGATTTTTTTTCCTATGTTCATTTTATGTCAAGTGGTTGATGGTTCTGCCTCTTGACATATGGCTGACTTTATTTAATCCTGTTTACAGAACGCTCTTGGGTTATAGATGTGTGCTAGGGCCAAGCACAATTACCTGTTTACAATAAACATAAAATTCTTGGATTAAGGATGTGTGGGAGGGCAAGGCCACACTCTAACTGGAAACAGACTTTTCCAGTCAACAGTCTCGGGGTTCACGGTGTAATCAAATATCCGGCAATGCCTACAGATGTAAGGATCAAAAGGCTTATTAAGGGAGCAGCTATAGGTATAAGCCAGGAGAGCCACAGAGTTTTCAGGCCATCTGCCCCATGACTCTTATGTCTAGTGTCTGATTCTGATTCTTAAAGCATAGTCAGTTAGCTTTTTGTCTCTCTTGCCTGGCTAGATTGGCAATGCTATTTTCACATCCTTAGTGGGGAATACTTGTTCAAAAGTGTTTATCCAGCAGCTACACTGAGCTAGGCATGCCCTGTGCCAGACTCAGGTTGAGGGAGAAAGTAGGCACATATTGTTCTTGTCTGTAGGCAATGGTTATGTGTAGGTGAGGTTGTTGGCAATGGCTCTGTTTAGGAGAAGGTCCAGAAGTACTTAGGTATACTCCCTGCCCCAGCTTTCATGGCTTGCTCTGTCTATCTGTGCTGTGTGGTGCATGTTTGGAGATTGTGTCTGTTGTGGTCTCTCCTCTCCATTCTTTTTTTTTTTCTTTAATATTTATTTATTTATTATTTAAACAGCATTTTACTTGTATGTGTGCCTTCATACCAGAAAAGAGCACCAGATCTCATTATAGATGGTTGTGAGCCACAATGTGGTTGCTGGGAATTGAACTCAGGACCTTTGGAAGAACAGATAGTGCTCTTAACTTCTAAGCCATCTCTCCAGCCCCTCCTTTCCATTCTTAATGACCCACATTGCTAAGCAATTTAAAACAAACACTGCACACTTGTTCATGGACTTCCAGAACATCTCTCCTCAATTTTCTGGGAAAAGGTCAAACGCTGAAGTTCATAGGACTGTAGGAACTTCCTGCTTTGTGTACATCTCAAACATTGGAGGAGACAATTGCAAGAGAAGGAAGGAACCTGGAGGATGCTTAACTAGGAGGCTGGTCTTCTCTAGTCAGCCAGCAGCTGATCCAGCTTCCAGGTCAACATGAAGGCTCTCCTCACTCTGGGACTCCTCCTGCTTTCTGCCACTGTTCAGGCCAAAGTCTATGAACGCTGTGAGTTGGCCAAAATTCTGAAAAGTAAAGGAATGCATGGCCATGCTGGATTCAGGCTGGCAGACTGTAAGTCTCTTCTTGATGCCTCCAGATGAGCTTTCAGAGCAGGGACAGGGGAACAGTGAGTAATTAGAGAAGGAGGGGGAGTCAATACATTTCTATGTTTCCTGTGTGTTTTAGTTAATTTGACTAAATGCATCACTGCTTGTCTTTGAATCCAAGATGCTGGGTGAGGTCATTAGAGGGGAAATTCTGTGCCATACTAGGACCGTAAGACCTGAGGTGCTCTTGGACTGTCACTGGGTTTTCCAGTTGCTTGAGACCTAATAGCCCAAGGAAAAGGGCTGAGAAAGATGGGGGACTCACTCAGTCAGAATGTGGGATCTGAGATCCTGGATAACATGGTGTTTGTCTTCACTTCTCTTACCATGGTGTGCAACTTTTGAGATAAAAAATTTTGACTTTTTTTTTTTTTTTTGTACTTTCTGCTAAGGCAGAGCTATATATTTGCCCCTAGGTGCTGATGAAATGAGGTCACCTCAAAATGGGTATAGGACTGTTCTTCTCTGAGAAGGTTTTTTGTTTGACACAGTGGCAGATGTGCATGAAGCAAAGTTCTTTAAGGATTACTGTGTGCTTTTCAGATGCACTTCCAACAGCTACCACTTAATACCTAACTTCCAATAAGTAAGTGAATATATGGATGGATGATGGAAGGATGGCCAGATGGATGGATGCAATCATTGGATAGCCTTTCTTTGTCTAATAGTCTTGTAGAGAAGATTCTGAGTATCCTGTTGTGATGCTTGTAACTCTAATCTTAATATCTGAATAGTGAGGCAGAGGACTACTAGTTTTCTGTCCACCAAAGATACTTAGAGACATCTGATCTCAAAAGAAAAAAAAAAAACTTAGCTTGACTTGAAAATTCACTTTGTTATGAGAACATTACTGTGAAAAACACTTACTGTTTTTAAAAAGTGATTTTCCTCTTCATACACATTTTCTATTGATTTAGTGAATGTAGTAAGGTTTATTTCATTGTAGGATGGCTAGAAAGATGACATCAGGGAGGATTTAAGGCAATGAAGGAAGTAGCTATATTGATTTTGTTTTAAAGACAGGGTCTCAGTATACAGCCCTCGTTTGCCTGAAACTTGTCACCTATAAAAGGCTGGTTTCAGGCTCACAGAGCTCCACCTACCCACCTCTGCCTTCCAAGTGCTGGGATTAAAGGTGTGAGCCACCATGCTGGGCTCACGGTTTTTCCCGTCTTATTTTCTTATTCTCTGATCAAATGTTGATTCAAATAGTCTGCTGCGGTTGTTCTTTATGGAACGAAGCAGGATTCAACAGTGTGTGCAGCAGGCCTCTTTTCTTCTGTGGCAGTTTCTTCTCTGCTGTTTTCTTTTCTGCCGCTGGTTTCTGGGTAGCTGCAGCCATTATCTTGGCTTCTTCAGTTTCTTGATGTCCTCAGGCCTCACTGGCAGAGATACATAGACCTTTAAATGTCATCTCTGGCCTTATCTTTCTAAAACAGAAAAGCAGCCTTCCTGGTCTTCTTGTAACTTTCAACCGTGTATTGAACCACCAAAGGCAGTTGAAGAACTTCCTCAATACAGACCTAACCCAAGCTGTGGAGACTGAGGCAACTGTCCAGGGCAGAGCAGAGGACATATCTCTTTGGGCTTGTGTTCACTCTGTGGTGTCAAAGGCCCAGGTTGGTGTGATCATGTGGTCTCCCTGACACATGTTTCCAAAAACCTCCTGGCCAAGCAGTGGGTCCCACCACATCCAACTCTGGGATTCCATCCACATCTCTGCCAATAACAGACAAGACAGTGATCTGTTCACCTGCTCATTCATGACAGCATAGGGACAAATGTTGCTTGTGCACAAGTTGCTGTGGGCAGTCTTCACGATACCTGGTCCTCCAGGAGATGTCAGCACATCTGGGAAAGTGACATTTTTGCTGTCCCCCTTCTCAGGGTCTACGAGTTGAGGGGAGAGGCACATGCCATGGTGGGGAGAGAAGGTGACCCTCCTCTCAACAATGGAAAAGGAAGTACTTAGTACCTTCAACTTTTGAGCACCTAATCTTGTTTATTCTGTACAGGCTGGTTTGTCCCCAAAGGGAGTCTTTTTGGAGTACTGGAAAATTACTTGCTGACTAGGAACAGAAGTTCCACCTGATTGACAGGCTGAGGCAGGAGGATCACTGGAGAGACTACCCTGAGCAACACAGCCAGACCCAGGCTGAACTAGTCGTAGCATATTATACCATTAAACCATATGATCGTAGGTATAAAGTAAATACAGCCAGATCACAGTGCTGATTTTGGTATCAAATACAGATCATTTGTTATTGCTGCAGACTGAGAAACACTCTTTTTCTTTTCAGGGCTGTGTTTAGTTCATCATGAGAGCGGATATAACACCCAAGCTATAACCCACCATAACCGAGTCGCAGACTATGGGATATTTCAGATAAAGAGCCGATTGTGGTGTGATGACGGCAAAAACAAAAACCCACGAAATGGCTGTGGGATACCCTGCAGCGGTAAGACAAGGCAGCTTTACAGTGAGAGCAAACAGCCCATCTGCTCTCATTGCGAGAGCAGAGATTCTGTGCAGGGACATAGCAGTGAAGGAAGCATCGGGAACCTGGGGAGACTTCTTGCTGTTAGAAAGTCATTGCTAAGCACATCAAAGTTAGCCAAGGAAGATGTTAGGCTTAGGGTGCAGTTCAGTGATAGAAGGCCCTGCTTACATATCAGAGGACCCTCAGTCCCACTGCTAAAATCAATGAATAAATAAAATAACATAATAAAATAAAATAAAATGGGAAGACAGATCAGAGAGAAGAGTCCCCTATGGCAATGGTTGGCCCTCAGCAGCCACATAAAAGCTGAGTTTGGTGGTAGACAATTTTAACACCAGCACTGGGGAGCGAGACAGGCAGATCTCACTGGCCAAGCAGCACAGCCTGGTCTGCAAGCCAGTTCCCAATGGCAGACCCTGCCCCAGAAGCAATGTGGACTGTTCCTGGGGAACAGCTCCCGGGGCAGACCTCAGCAATGATCTGTATTAATTTCTACTTTGTAAAGCTTAGATATTTAAAAAAAATTTATATTAATTACAGTTTCCTCACTTTGTATCCCAGCTGTAGCCCCTCTCTCATTCCCTCCCAATACCACCCTCCCTCCCTCATCTCCTTCCATGCCCCTCTCTAAGTCCACTGATAGGGAAGGTCCTCCTCCCCTATATCTGACCCTAACCTATCAGGTCTCCTCAGGAGTGTCTGCATTGTCCTCCTCTGTGGCCTGGTAAGGCTGCTCCCCCCTCAGGGGTGGTGATTAAAGAGCCACCCGGGCATGCTGGGGTGGTTCAATATATGGCAATCCATCAATGTGATCCACCATATAAAACTTGGTTCTTAAAATAGCCACAAGGAAATGGATTTTGGAAAATTCTTTGTAACTCACTTTGTCTTTAAAAGTGTTTTGTACACTCATCTGTCGTCTTTGTAAAGTATTAGAAAATACAAGAAAAGGGGAATATCACTTCCCATTTGAGTACTCACAGATTCACTTAACTGGAAACCTTTAGAAAGTACTGTTTTACAACGTAAATCTAGGCTGTAACATGTAAATTAAGTACATGTAAATTATATGACATACATGTTACTCACATAAAAACATGTAAAAATTTTATTTTTTAACACAAATTAAGTTACACTTACACAGCTGTACAATATGGCTATCACTCAAACCAAATCCAAAGTAAGAAAATGCTGACCTGAATTCTCATCTTAAAGAGGGAATAAACTTACAGTAGCATTATTCTGTACTGACAAACACCACTCTTCAGTGTTCAATCTTAAAACGCATTAGCTGCTTCCACTTTATTGGTTATAAACCTCTAGGAAGAGATTTAGTCGTACAAAGTTTATACTTTGCTTTTAAAAAAGTGTTAATTTATCTTTATGTGTGTGGGTGTTTTCCCTGCCTGTAGTTCTGTGCACCGTGTGTGTGCCTGATACCCGTGGAAGCCAGAAGAGGGCTTCAGGTATTCTGGAGCTGGAGTTATAGACAGCCATGAGCTGCCATGTGGGCGCTGGGAAGCAAACCTCTGGAAGAGCATCCGTGCTCTCAGCCACTGAGCCCTCTCTCCAGCCCCTGCTTTTTTCAGTGGTAGATACCCAGCTGACAGTTCCCTGCTTGTTCTGTTCCCCAGTGTGAGGAAGAGGGGCTTCCCTCACTGTAGCCAACAGTCCCACACCCTCCAGAGCCTCCTCACTACTGCGGTGGGTTCTTTACTTTGCAGCAGTGCTGGATCCTAAGAACACAAGCACATGCACACGCTCAAACACCTCTACAACTCAAGCATGCCCCAGCTTCTCCAGGGACTGTATGTGTGAGAGATAGAGTAACATACGCCTTGTCACATAGATACAATCAGAGGAACAAGAATCTCCAATAATCAGCAGATTATTATTACATGGGAAATGTGTGTTTTCTTAAATTCATGCTCAGTGTCACAGAGGCTCGCTGGCTGGATGTGAACGGAAAGTGTGTTCTATAACTGTCCTTGTCATTCCTCACCCCTGTCTTTCAGCTCTGCTGCAGGATGACATCACTCAAGCCATAGAATGTGTAAAGACGGTTGTGAGGCATGGACAAAGCCTTTTAGCATGGTATGTTGGAAGTCTTGGAAGGGGAACTGCTGGTTCTGTTGATAGATGCAGCGAGTCTCTCTAAGGCCCATGTGTCATGCTGAGAACTGTGGATCTACTTGGGTTTTTTTTTCTTCCACATCATTATTTTTAGGGAATTTCTGAAGATTGTGAGAGTTCCCATACATGACTGTTTTCTTGTGAGGCCTTCAGACTAGCTGCAGAATCAGGGAACGTGTTCTGACACTGATCTTCAGCATCCTGTGCTCTCCTGAGGGATGGGAGAGGATCAGTCTGCCCTGTAGACAGAGGTTCACCAGTCATTACAGTTTTGGGGTGCAGCTCTAGCCTGTGTGTCATACTTGAGAATGACTCAGAACACAGTCTCCATTAGTGTCACTGTTGTACTGCATTCTCGCCAATGTTTGTATATGTGTGGGTGACAGCAGAGACAAGTTTTTAACCATTTCTTTCCATGTCTTGCTTTCCTCCACAGGGTGTCATGGAGAAATAACTGTAAGGAGAAAGATCTGTCTCAGTATGTTCGGGACTGTGGAGTCTAACCACTGTGTGCTTCACTTCAGCTCTTGCTGTCTCTTTCTCACTATAGGAGCAGTCATGAGAAAGGTCACACTTCCTTGCTCTCCCCTTCAAACAAACAGGATTTAAACAGACACAGGAGCAGAATGGAGACATTTCCCACAAGGCTTAATGCCGACATCCCTGTTCACGTGTTACACAAAGCCTCCAGGGTTCAGTTCGCTCGTGCGATGGATGCTGGGGACATCAGCCAGCACTGTGGCCGTCACACACATCTCCACGTCAGTTCTTCACCTGAAGAAGTTCACGTTAAGTTTAATCAGAATTAATCCAATTCTCCCTGTGTAGGAAAAACACAACAAATACTCACAGGAGACAAGATGGACTTAGGTCAAATGGCAGCTGTGTGAGCTCCAAGGCTTTGTGTGTGGGCTCAGCATCCAGACACTTAGAACAGCCACTGAGGTGGTCAAGGAGGGTTTTAAGGGAACAGAA